TCCCACTTTAGCAAATCATTTTCGTTAGCGAATATCCCAACTACACCTCCCTTTGGAGTCTCTTTCTCCATCTCCCAACATAGAATCTATGGGAAACCTGCATAAATGGACAGCAATCTCATCGACCTTTGTGTTGACTTCTGGAATTTCTTCTACTTTAACATTTGATTTTGTTAAGCCACGTGACAGAGGACCAGCAACGGCCTTAGTACCAGCCAGCCTGGCTTGTGGGTCATAGCAAGTGCCTGACCAGGATGCATATGGCAACGCATAAGGCAGAGCCCTCGCTGAGCAAGGAACAAGGGCATCAGTAGGAACACACCCACCATGGGACCTTACTGAAGTGAAGGGCAGCTTTTCTTGTGGGTAGGCTTTGGTAACGTTAAGCAACTGATCTTAATTTCTGCAAAAGTCGAGGAAGTTGTTACGCTTAGCCAATTAAATATGTTGAAGTGGGGAGAAGGGTAGATATGCTTGCTGGTGCTGCAAAAAGATGCGTCTTGAATGAAATTCAGGGGTTTTTTGTGCTTTTGTTTTTGAGAGGGGGAGTCTTGCTATTGTTTAAAAACCATTGTGAAACTTCTGGGCAGATGTGTGAAACTAACATCATGTATGCGTTATGTATGGTTCTTAGTTTTTCAGCTGAATTGGAAGAAAATGGTGAAATATCACTTTAGCGTTGCTTACTGGCAATGAATTTGGAAGCTGATGTGTCCAATGTCATTCAGCACTACATGCAACTTCTGTTGTCTTAGCGACTACTCATGTTGTCTCCTCTCTGAAATAGCTATAATGATTTACCTGGCTTGGGATTCTTTATTTTTATTTTTTATTACTGTTTTTGAATGGCTCTTAGCATACTTGTGGACGTTCATTAGAGCAGAATTGTAATGCTGGAGACCTTGCAGCTTGAGAAAACAAGGAGTTCAGGAGCTGTCTTGTTTTCAGTAGTAATAAGAGTGGTCATTATCTTTTAAAAATTGTCAAGAGAAATAAATAGATTTATGATATAGGCAAAAGTATTGTGCTGCTTTTTTTTCAAAAGCATTGGCATAAAAGCCAGTATATTCTTCTGTATCCTGGCATTTCAATATCCATCAATTAAAACAAAAGAATTAAATGCCACTGGTTTCTTTGGGAAGTAGTAATGAAGACTACAAGAAGCCTTTTTAATTGATGCATTTTTAATGTTAGTCTGTAAAACAGACTTAAAGCCAAGAACTTTATGTGTAGGCAGAAAAATTATTTTCTTTATATCTTTGTTCTGAGAGGAATACAGTCTCAAATGAAAAGCTTAGCAAGTGGTGCTGTGCGAATCTTGGGTGGAGGAAGATGCTGGAGCCTGAGTCCATATCCTTATTCACGTCCCTAAGGATGAATCCTTTTCAGGACTGGCTGTTCTGTTTGCCCTGTATATGTGACAGGAGTTAAGACCAAATGACACACAAAGTTGAAGACCTTATTCTGCTCAGGATTTTAGGCCTCAGGTCCTGCAAGCAGATCAGTTGTGTGTCTTCAGATCTTCCACAGTTGCACGCTGGAGTCAGCTGTGGAGCTTTCTGCTTCTCAGCTGTCAAGGCTGGTGACCCTGTTAGAGCATGGGAACTCCTACCTGGGCCAGAAGAACCTAGGCTCGCTCCGGCTTTCATATCCACCCCAGTGGGAATGTGGGCAGCACACACATTTAGACCCAAACAATAAGAAATGCACATGGATTCCCTGATTTACAAGTAGCTTGTAAGTGCAGGGTGCCAACTCTAAATCCTTAAATTACACCGTTCTCAGTGGAACACCTAGCAAGTTCATGTTTCTGCATTTTACAGGTACTTGTTGAGCTTCAGGTATATGCTTTTATGTAAGAGCTTTTAAGAAAGGTCTCTGCCTGAAGAATAGTTGTGAAATGTAAAGCTGTATATCTGAGGACCCACAGAAAGCATCTGCAACATGGACTGATTTCCAGAGTCATGCACTGTCCCCTCCGAGCACGTTACTCAATGATCCTGGCAGCAGAGTCAGTATTTTCTCATGACAGCTCTTAAGAGTTTTTCAGCCCCCGAATCCAGTATTGTGCTTCACTCCCCCACAGCTGCATTTGTACTAATAAATTAAACACTGTCAATCACTGTCACTTTTGAGGCCAACAGACCTGAGACTGCCTGCTTCCATTGCTAGCAAACTTTTTTACATCCCAAAATGGGGCGGTTGCATCCAGAGTGCCTGTTGGGAGTTACTTGTGGTTGATATTCATTCCCGGATAGCAGCCAGGAGTTATTTGGGAAAGTGCTATTTGGAACAGGTCAAAACTATTCCAGGAACTGTTACCACAATATAGATGGCTGAGTTCCCGTGCTAAGAGTATTGCCTGGTGCTATTAAACGTACCAGTATGGGAGTAGCCTATTTTAATTAGCAGAACAAAAGGCTTGCCCCCAACAGTGTAATGGGAAACAGGGCTATCGAGAAAGACAAAATACCCTCATAAGATCGCTTCAGCTTACCCCGTGCTTCTGAATGGCTCTCTTTCCTTCAGCCCGATGCTTAGGGGTAGTCAGAGCTCAGGTTCGCAGCCAGTTAGAAGGGTGCCATTTTCTTGGTTTGTCTAAATTTTGGATCTCCTTTTGGCTAGCTGTTTTTGAAAGGGATCAGGATGCTGCTGTATTCAAATTAATTTCTTTAGCTCTTTCCTTAATATTAATTAGTTTAGAGGAACACATTTTATTAGCATCTTTGATTAGCCCTTGAAGTTTAGCAAGCAAGTGAGATGTTGCTCCAACTGTCTGAATGTGGAACACCTATGGACACTTTGATATGCTGATTTCCTTCTGGAGATAATGCTTTCCTCTCTGGAACATTAATTGAACTGTCATCTCTCTGACTTCCCCCTTTCCCTGCAGCATGGCTTATGCTATGCTCTGTTACTGTTATGACTATAGGTTTAATATTATGAAAAATACCATTCAGACAATATTTTGAGAGTCTGGCAACTCCAGATGCATTGCTGGGTTTCCATAGAGATGGTACACAATGAATTAACATATTGACTTGACTGAGTTGACTGTCTTTAGGCAGATCCGGAAACCTGAGTCCCTTTCTTGTGATAGGAACGCTTTATTAATGTATTACTTAATTTCGTGTAGTAGGGTGTTTTCTGTGTCCAAAGGCAGTGCACAGTCTTGCTGAGAAACTTTATTTGCTTCCACTCTTGTAATCATCTTTTCTAACACCGAAACTGAGTTAGCTTTTCATTTATCAGTGTGCTGATCCAGGAAATGCAGTGTCTTAACCCTCCACTCCATTTAATGCAAATAATGAGAACTTCCACATACCCCATGTCATTCTTTTGCCATCCTTAAGGAATTAGGACATCCAGGTATACCCCGAAGTTGCCAGATATTTCTTTGCAGAGCTTCAACCTTCTCAAATATATTCCAGATTTTCTGTAGGAGTTCTTAGTCTTTCTGGTGTAGAAATAAATTGTTATTTTAGCAATTTTAGCATAGGTAGAGAAACACAAAATCTGCAATTTAAAACTTCAAGTTCCCAAAATTATGCTGTGTAATCTCACCACTCAACCCCTCATCTTTCATGGAAAAAATGTGTGTGCTTAACACTTGGGTAAGAAGACTATTAATTTTTTTAACCTTGATATACAGGTGCTTTGTAGATCAGGGCATCTTATGTTTCACTTGTTTCTTTCTGTATTGTGCGTTGGCTGAGGTCCATGTTAACTACCCAGGTAATGGAGGAAACGGAGTGAACTAGGAATGCTGAGACTCTAAAAGCATGGCTTGCTACAATTTGAGCAAGTACTCTGTACCTGAAGTGGTAACATGGTTTTGTATTGTGTAGAGTAGCAGAGAAGAACTTGTGGGTTCTTGTTCTTTTTCCCCACTTCTCCTCAATATACCCACTGACCAGCAGGACATTTTCCAAAAATGCATCTACTCACCATTTCAGATCATGGAGTGAAAGATAAAAACACACTTGGTAGCCTGTGTCAGCAGTTAGCCATCATCACTCTTCGGCAGCCAAGGCTTTTTCTCCAAGGTTAGGAAGCTGTCTTTGGTAGTGGCATCTTCTCTCCCACAGAGCTAGCTGGTTGCCCTGTTAGCAGTGTAAATCTTTGTATTGAATGCCTCTTCAAGCACTCTTTCTGCTCTCACTTCAGTACTTTCTTGCTTTCCAAAGCTGTATACAGAAATAAAATTGCCTCTTTCCTCTAACTCTATTCCTATGAGTGAGCAAAGACTTGAATAGGTAGGCCTGGGACTGCAGGTTAGGAAACTGATGCCGGGTCACGGCACTGAAACTCCTATTCTTAACATTTGTTTATGTTGTTGCTTGTGACTTTGTTTAACTCTACCTGCTTGAAACTGTGAGCAAAGCAACGCTACTTTGAAAATCTGGTTTATAAAGGATGCTATTGGAAAAATAAAATTGCCCTTGACAGAATCAGAAATGTCAATGTTGTGCAATTCTGCTTCAACTAAAGACAAGCATATTTTTTTCAATGCTACAAAATGCGTCAAAGTCTTTCTGCTTGATTAAGTAATCTGTTGTAAGGCTCCATTGTACTAACCATGAAGGAAAATTCCTTAAAATAATCTTTTAAATTACTCACCTGAGATTTATAGATCTGGTAGAAGGATTTGCAACAATTCAGTGAAGCAGTTGCATCCTGATGAAGTCCAATGGTATGCGAGTCTGTGTTTTAGGAGCTTTACAATGAGGAAAGAAAGCATAGCCACTGTAGACCCCAAATATGCAAATGACAACAATTGTTTGCTTAAAAATGCCTCCCAGCAAATGTCTTACCCACAATATAGGTTCTGTATTCTCTGTCCCATTTCATTCTGTCTCCATAACTTTTTGTTCCACCTGTGATGTTTTTCAGCAGTCACATGATAAAATGTCTAGGCTAGATTCCAAGGGTGGAATAAAAAGCTGTATTTATTTTTATGGAAGCACTAACAATTCTATTTGGATTGGATTCCTTCGTAGCAAAACCAATGAATTATTGAACAGATTGGACTTGGGTTTGCCAAAGAGTGATTCTTGTCAGATTGCTAATCGTGGCCCAGAATCTACAGCATGGGTAAGCAAAATCATGGCATGTGCTATATTTTCTGTCAGCTTTCCAGGTGCTGTCAATAGTGTAATATTAGAATATTCTAATTGAGCTTAATTGCCTAGACATAACTCAGTGAGTACCAAGGAGTCTTTCTGGGTGAATGAGATTGCCTACATTGTCTCTTACACACTGGCAGAGTATCCTGCATAGTAGGGGCCTGCCTTTATTACTCACTGATGTCTTTCTGATAAATAAGAGCCAGATTTATATTCTAAGGTCAGATCAGAATCTTAAATGTGCTCTGTACCCATCTGTTGGTGGCAAGCTTTTATGAAATCTCAACTAGTTCATGTCAGCGGATGCTTTACTGCATTGAAAATCTAGTCAGAAGAGAAGCTTATTTCTCACTGCATTCTAAAAGTGATTCCATAAACCGCTTGGGGACTTTGTCCCAGTTTGCATAAGCCTGGTAAGTATCAATGTAATTAGGAAATAGATAAAATATTGCTTAAGTTTCATTGTTCTAATTGCCTCAGAAAGGCTTTTTCACATATGGTTAGTCTCTTAGCATGTCCAAACCAAGCTTTCCTACTGATGTAAAAACTTGCAGTGAGGAATATTAACCCTGAGACAGAAGCATTTCTCCTTTAGGGAGGTTTGTAACTGGGGGAAGACAGAAAGCAGGCAGCCAAGTGGACAGAAATTGTCGTTACAAGCAATAGTCCTTAGTCAGCAGAAACTTGGAAGTATCCAATCTGGGCAGCCCTCTGTTGTAGACAACCTTGGGTAAAGGGAGGGAAAGATTTACCTCCATATTTCCTCGGAAGCCTTGGAAATGTGCAAGACCCTCCCGTTACAGAAATTGCTGCAAACAGAATATATGACAGTTCTGTCATCTACTATGACATCTAGTATCTCTTCCTGGTTTTATTGCATGAAAAGGGAAGGTGATATTGAAAATAGGTTCCTTTCCCCTTTGATTCCTCAGGCCATTTTGTGTCTCTGAAAACCCTAGCGTATGTGGGTAGATATATAGCTTGAAGGAGCCAACTTCTGCCCAGCAATGCTGGGCAGAAGGTCAGTTGCAGGAGAGCACCTTTCAGACTGTCTTTTGTAGTCCTGGGTGGACAAGCAAGATGAAGAACTACGGGAAGGGATAAAAGATGTCTTGAAACCACTTCTACCTCCCTCCTGAACCATCCGACACTCCAAACAGTGGGGAGCTTGTTCTTTGATAGGGAAGACCCAGCCCTGCAGCCTTTCGTATGGTGTGAACATTGAACTGTGAAGACAAGTGAGCTCACATCCCAAGGACTGACTTGGATTTCAGCATTTTGGTGTGGTGTCTTCATATCTATACAGAAGTGGGTGGATGCCTGAAGGAACACTGAATTCTTTCAGGTGTACACGTCCTACTTTTAGCCTTTTCCTTCCACTTCACCTACCTATGTGTGCCTTTCTCATTCCAGTTTTTGAGGGGTTTCTTAATAAGTTACACCAAATTATATACCATAGTTCATCTTTGGCTTCACTAGTGTCCAAGCAGATAAAATACATAGTTTACCTGTACTGCTCTTTAATACTGGCTGATATTATACATGTCTTTTGCATGGCAGCATTTCTATAGCTTTGTGAAATTCATCACACGCTTATAATGCAGTAATGCAGTTAGCAAAATGTCTTCCCAACCAACTTGGATGAGGTACGGTCTATAGGCATATATGCACAGCCTCTGTGGTCTGTGTGAGGAATCTGAAGCACATAACCAGAGTTGTTATCTAAATAAACCTGGCGTAGTACCAAAATGCTAAACCAGTGGGAAAACCTGAACTCTAGTTTTGATGGTATCTCGGACTTGTCCTTTGTCTGGAGTAATTAAAACATTCAGGAAAAATATATTTGAAATAGTGAAGTGTGATAAGCTTAGGAAGTGCCTGACATGCATGCTAAAAGGGAGGCATATATATATGATTTTTTAAATTTAAAATTCATTTTCTAAAAAAAGTTTGGGACAATGTAATGTTTATTGATTTTTTTTCCCTCACATCATTTCTTGGATAGTGATATTAATTTAGCACACCTAGTTCAAATATCAGTGTCAAATACTGATGTGCATGAACAAATTTAACTTCTTTGGAGTGACTCTGTTATTGGTGACTTTTTTGGCCCACTTATTTAATCAAGCTCATAATTAATTTTAATCCTGTCTTTCAAAGTGTTACCAATCCTGTGTAGATTTTATTGTCTTCCAACTTGATTAACATACACGCCACACAATTCTCCAAGCCATTATGGAGAGTAATGAATAATATTGGACCCAGAATGACTCTCCCTGGACACATGTAACAACTCCTCCCAGCTCAAAACTGAGCTGTTAATAATTGCTTTCTCTATTCAGTCTTTTTAGCAAATTATGTGCCTGTTGTTTTAATGGTGTCATTCTGCATGCATATATCAAGTTTCGAGAACATTGTGTAGACCTGCAACAAATTCCTCACTAAAGTCAAACTTGCACACTTCTTGTATTAAATTATACTGATTCATTATTTAGTGTGCTACACTTCCTGCTCAAAGACTTTACAGTATAAGTTCCTATGTGTAAGATCCTAAGGATCCTATAAGATCCTAATGGTAGGCTGGCTCTTTGCTAACAACTACAACTTGTGAAAGACCAGGTCTAGTTACTGTAATGAAAACCTACTACACAGTTAAATACATTATTCATGATGTGTAGTTCAGATTTTCAGTTCTCTTGGCTGCCCCACAAATAATAGAGCAGACTTGATCTCTCAGCTTCTGTTGCCTTACCTCCACAAATGCCTTTCCACAAATACTCCTGGGTTCCCCTCTGTTACCAGGCCTCAATTCTGCTTTGTTATCTTGGTAGTATTTTCAGTACTTTTCTTTCTTCCCAGAATACCCCATCTCACTATCAGATATCCTGATTGTGTTTTCTGGCTGCTCAGGGTATCTTTATGCTTGCCACTGGGACGTGGAATAGCATGTGCTGTGGCTGCCTGGTTGTGATGTGCAGGTGGACATTCAGCCAAATCGAATGATTGAGAGGCTTTAGACCACTTCTTGTTTAAATTCTACTCTTGACACTAATCTGTTTTTTAAGTAACTGGAATCATTCAACCGTTTCTGTTTTGTCAATTACCTGTATGACGATTTGGGAATAAGGTTTGGGATTTTGGCCCCCCCTCTCCCCACACCAACATGTTTATATTCTTTGTTGAACCATAGACGAGAAGCCATACTTATAAGCAAGCTCTTCGAGAGGATGAAAACAGAAGATTAGAGGAAATGAAGCAAGAACAACGGAGGAAGGTAATTATACATTGTTTGCATATTGTATCATTTTTGCATGCTGTGAAACCAATTAAATACATTGATTACTTGTAGCCTACGCACAGAGCTGCTCTTTAGCAAAAGTGATTCAGTCACTGTTTTCAAATATTGTGAGAGAGATGAGCCAAGCTGTAAAATGTGGATGGGGACAGGACAATTATCTTCTGGGTTCAAGGCTATTTGCATCTGGATGACTAGCTCCTGTTCGCCTCTCCATTTGAACAATTGTGCGGAGCATTTTTTGACCATGGCACCCAATTTCATAGGCTAAGGAAACCAATTCCCTCTCTTTCAGGCAGAAGTAATCTTACTGAGATATTCGTGATGATCTCAGACTCTGAATAGTCTCTTTCTAGAGAATCGAGGCCCATGTGCCCTCACTTCCCAAATGGGGATGTGGAAGCACTCAGATTTGCTGTTAAGTCTGTATGCTTCTCTGTTCCCTTGCTAACCACCTAAATGAAGAGGTTTGAATTGTCTAAAAAGCAGGCATGCCGTAACTGCAAGTTTGAACTCCATCTTCTGCACGTGCGGCACACATTGCCTGAAATGCGTCTGAACCACTGTAGTCCCTGTGGCGTAGATTTGGGTACCATATCCACATAAAGTTCATCTACACAAGGCGATGGCACTGTGCTAAGTTATCTGTCTTGGCTCCAGGTCTGATTGTGCAAGTACGGGGAGGGCAGCATTTGAAAATCATATTAGCAAATCATTCGAAAACATATTGGCAAATACTGAGCCTCTTGTTATACCTCTGCTGTTACTAACATCCAAATGAACGTTAAACGACTTCCCCAGTAGCAGAATCTTAGCGCAACAAATGCCACGCAGTGAGTTTCTACTAGAGCTGGACAAGTGGCTCAGCCCCTCTCACAGGTATTTTTCTTTAAGTGTTGAGGATGAGTGTCCTCATTTTGTAGTATTCTAGCAACCAGGATGCTGGAAACAAAAGGTGGGGAAAAAGGGAGGCTCTTAATTGCTTTCCCACCAGGTGTATGCTAATTCCCAGGAACTATACGGAGGAAAAACCTTTGAAAGCCAGTCCTGACGGGTGTAAGGCTGGTAGCTGTTGTATTCTTTACATTGATTCTTCCGTTGAAAAAATAGCTACAGACGTGAATTAGCGTGCCCCTACTTTATGAGTTTGGTTTAAGGGACTCGTGCAGAGCTTTAGACTCTTTACCGATTTCCACAGATTGCTGAGAAGGTGTTGGCTGCTTCTAAGGCTGCTCTTGCTTGGTACACAGTTCCAAGTGCTCCTTGCCTTCACAGTTGCTGCTACATATTGCGCAGAGTAATGCACTACTTACAAAGCTATTGTAAATAATAAGTATTTTAAAGGCTCCAATAATTGTCCCTCAGATATATGTTGGCTCGTTTCTACTTCAAACTAATATTTATTAAAGTAATTGTGAATTCTGCCGTGTGTGTACCTCTTAGCACAGTGTAGCTATAAAACATATAGGTATTGTCAGTTCCCTTTTTTTTTCCAGAACAGGTTTTAGTATGTATTGCTTGATTTAGAAATTTTCAGTACGCTTTGAACACCGCATCATATACACACAATATATTTCACAACATTACTCCAAGAGAGGACTCAGGATATTGGAAAGTCAGATACTGGGTTTTAATTTTCAGGTTGAATAGTTATTTAAAATAGTGAAAATTAAGGTTGGCTTTTTTATTTCTTAATCCTGTTTCTTCTTTTAGGGCTAGACAAATATTGATACACAACACATTCGCAGTTATTGATTTTCTTCATACATTTATTGCATAGTTTTTATTTAATGTTCCACTTAAATTGATTTTTTTTTTTAAACTTTTTTGGTTCCATTCAGTTATTGAGGCTTTTATCTAACCGCATCATTTTATTTTAGTTCCTATTCCTACTGCTGCTCAGTTGCTATGGAAAATATGAAAGATGGGTCTGTTCCTATCCCTTCCCCCTCGCCCTGCTAGCCAAATTTTCTTTGCAGAAAAATCTGCATCTTCGATTCTTGGGTGCATTGCAGGGAGCAAGAGCCAGACAAAGAAGCACGCATGCACAGCAGAGACAGACGAGCTGTGTTTCCTTCACAGTCCTGGCTAGAATTGCATAAGCAAACTCTCTGAAAAGAATTCCCTTTGACACTCTTTATATGCCTTAATATTGCGTATCGTAAGGATGGTAGGCTGCTGCAACGCTGGGAGCTTGCACATGCTTTCACCACACCAACAGGTACCATTTGCCTTTCCCTCACCCCTGAGGGAGCCCCAGGGAGCTGGAGGTGACACACCATGCCACATACCCCCGTTCCTATCTTCTCTTCGTGCTCCACAGAGGCAGGAGGTGAAGGGCATGTCTCCTTCGTACCCTATGGGCGCAATGGCTGTGTCTGCTCCTGCTAGATGACTTTGGCTATCTTCCCCCTTGGACCCACAGGGAAATTCAAACCCATGGGCTGGGGCAAGGGGAAGGAGACTCGTGTCTAGCATATCCCTTTAAAGGTAGGACTGTAAATGTCTGAATCCTGTAACTTCCCACTTTTTAAGGCACAAATAGAACTCATCCAGTACAACGCTGAACAGAAAAATGAGCTCAGTTTTTAACATAGTGCCGTTACATAAATAAAATACTGTTGAGAGAAGTTCTGGGAATGACACATGGCTCCAGCTGAAGTTAACACCATGTGGAATTAATTGGGTTTGCAACACAGGTATGTTAATTAAAAGTAAGTTTGCTGGGTTTTTTTTTTTCCCACTTTTATCATTCCCAGGCTGAATTAATGGAATTTAAACAAAAGCAGGAAGAGGAAGCCAGGACAAGAGCACGTCAAAACGAACAGAGGAGGTATGATGCAAAAATGCAGAATACACTTTAATTGAATTCCTATCTGGAAAGGGTCTCAAAATTGGAGGCATTCATGCTTTAGAAGATGACTGCAATAAGGATCCCTGACCTCGCCTCTGGTTTAACTTTGCCTTCAAATGAGCCACTAATATCCATCATTATAACTGCTCACTGTAATGCAGTATGACCCAGAGTGCCTTTTTCACTTTATTTATCCTATCAGCGTAGGATGCAGCATAGGGTAGAAACTATCAGTAGTTTCACGGGTAACTACTAGCCCAGTAATTTCAGGTGGGAAACATTTTATTTTTTTATCTATCTATCTATTGTTTATTTTTACTTTATTTTAGAATGGGCTACTTTGTCCATGCCACATTTTGTGGTTGACTGTCACTGAGGTTAACAGGCAGAGCTAAACGTGGGATTTGATACGGATACAGGTAGAAGCTGCAGTGCAGCAAGGCCGCCTGCAGCCGCACTGCTTCGCGCCCCAGGCTGTGCCCCACTGCTGTGCCCTCTCTGTGCTCAGCCGTTCTAATCTTGCATTTCTGTCACTTAACTGACTTTCCATTATCTTGAAGCACAGCTTTATTCTCAGCTTTGTTTTCTGCTGGTAAAAAGAAACAATGCTCAGGCTCAAAAGTAAAAACACCATTTGTTTCCTCTTCTATATCGTTAGGGAAATATAAAAAAATTACTTCTGTAGGCAACCACTCTCCATACTGTTTTCATTTCTTTTTTTTCTCTAGCAAAGATATTGAGATGATTACCCATAGAAGTTAATGAAGGATTTTCGATTCAGTCCATCTCACGTCCCTAGATAGAAATAATCCAGTATCTTGCATTTTACATCATTGTTACCAATAGCATTGTAAAACATTAAAACAACAGTCATGTCTAAGCATGTGTGTCAGTCCTAAGCATTAATAGGGGGAAGAAAGGAACAGTTTTCAGAAGGTTTGAAAATACTTAAAACAGACTCAGGAAAAGTATATTTGTATTTGTGCATGCTTTCCAGACTAATAGAGCAGACTGATTTCAGAGTAGCTACACAAATTGTCTCTATTAGTAACAAGGTTAAGTGGGTATTTTCATTGGCATTAGGACATCAGTACTTCTAGAAACTCTCCTTGTGTACCGAAGGGTGAAAGACTACCTTAGGTGAATTGTCAAAATAGCTAAACTCCCTGACATGGTGAGTGGTGGTATGCAGGTCGTCTTTCCACGGAGGATTTTGGTGCATTTCTCACAGCAGTCAAGGTATGCCTTTTAATCACAACGGACTGATCACAGGATAAGGATGCACTTAGTGAATTGAAAATGAAATCCACCCTATCATCTCATGCCAGTCCATGGGTATGCAGCACAGGCTTGAAAAACATAGGAAGATGGGTATTGAACTGAGAATAGGGAAAGCCACTCACAGAATGTTAAATTTTAAAAGTTTGTGAACTCCTCAGCTACCTTCAATCATTATTCATTTTTTGTTTTATTTTAAGGGTAAATAATGCTTTCCTGGACCGACTCCAGAACAAAACGCAACATAGTAGCATCTACCAACCTGCATATTCTGGGAGTCTGGACTACCTCAGTAACGACGCCTGGGTAAGTTTTTGGGTACAGAACATGAAAGCAATAAGATTGTTTAAAAGTTGACATTTTCCCCAGATACTATTATGTGTCTGTGTGCATTTAGCCTGCCTGACAGAACTTACAGTCCTGGCTGGCTGTCTACAATAGCTTTTAAGAAGAAATCCCTGTTCGAATGGGAGGAGGGAGGAACAGCTACTCTTGCAGCAGAACTCAGTGCCTTTGCATGCAAGGTACTTCCTTCAGTTCAGAACAAGGGTAGTGAAATTGTAATTTTTTTTTTTTTTGAAAGTCTTTAAATGAAAGATGTCTGGAAATGCTGTATACATTTTAATATAATATTGAAATTGGAGGGGAAAAATCCCATGAAAGTTACAGTTCATTTTTTACCTGTATAAAATTATGACAAAGAAGACCCGACTGCATCCAATTTAAAATAAGTAGCATTTGTAAGGATTCTTTGAAGAAAAGGTATCTTGTCCGTAGCCTATTAAACATCCATTAATTTTTTCTTCTGTCCTAATGGGGCATTTATTTAGAATTGCACTCTTCAGTGTAAAAAAAAATTATGTAGTATTCCCATCATGGAAATCTCCATTAGGTTGAAATTCCATTGCTGAGAGGACCCTAGTGCAGAAATGAAAGATTTACAAAGACTGAGCAGCAAAAGGATGAGAGTCTAAGAGAATACAGTGAATGTGCCAGTACAGGAAAAGATGTTTAGTTGATAAACCAGAAAAGCTTGAATTGGATTAGCTGGACTGTCTGGTGAGGATGTGCATGTTGGCAGATGAATGCCAGGAAGACTTGGGTTTAAGCATCTACGAAGTCAGGGCGTGATTAAGAATCATTCTTGCTGCTGGAGTTTTCCATGTACTGGAAGTGGAAAAAGAGTGTCTTAATCACCACAAGCTTTGGGCTAGCCCTGGGCCATGGCAGAGGGCTTGGGAACCCTGAACTGAGGGTTTGCACAAACCACCTTTGTGCATAGCGGTTCTCTTGGTCTTGCTGAGAGGAGACGGGACCTGCCAGCTCAACTTCCCATAAGATCTGCAGGCATCTGCTTGAAGAACCAGTTGGTTAGAGGCTTTCCTGTATCACGTGCCACGCAATCCAGGAGTTGTTGGAAGCCAAGCTACAGACGTCCGGGCTAGTAGAAGAGTGTGAGTAGGAGAGCACTCTGTATGGCAGGCCTGAACCATCTCCTGAGGGATGGGCATGTCTGCAGATAGATAGCAGAATTAGAGACTTCGGGTAGGACAGAGGCGACTGATACCTAGTAAGGGGCAAAAGGTAAAGTCTGCTGGATGGGGCCTGGTTAACAAAGGCAGCAAGGGCAGAAATTATTGTTTTTATTTCACTTTGTGTCCTTTATCCCAATTTGTAAACTGTTTCCCTATAAACTCAAAAGAAAACGTGTGACACAGCCGAGATCCCCAGTATCTAAACTCGAGCATCTCCATCAGAGCGCCTGCTGTCACCACTGAAAACCTTGCCATTGTCTGCAGAGGGAGCGGGGTTTTGCCTTTAGCCAGATGCCATACGTCCTGTTCCACAGGGCAGGTGTTGGTACCACCAAACGAGTGCTCTCAACCAAGGCACAGTTTTAACAACAGACGGCTCCATGACGTACGCAGCCAATCTATGCTTTTTTAAAAATATATATATTCAAAGAATGTATCAACACAAATGCAATAAAACCCTGTGTGTTTAAGTGAAAAATTTCCTACTCTGATGTTGACTTCATGGCTCCCAAGGACCCTGCCTTCTGTTGGGTAATGCTAGATTATCCATTTTTCCTTTATGCTATGATGTGAGATTTGAAGACTAAACAAAGCAGGAAAAGAATAAACTGTGAAAGAATATGTCATCATGGAAAGGAATTAAAAATTAGTATTGGTAACAAGAGCAAGAAAGAAAAATATCTCTTAAAAGATAGGCTGGAGGCTGTAACCTCAGTTTCTTTGATTATATCAAGATTCTTCTCCTTTCCCTTGGGATATTAAGCAAAAAGGACTGAACCCCAGGTGGGGCTTACAAGTCTGCAGCGTGGCGTTTTACATTACAAGGGAGCTAACTGAAGCAGGTCAGACTATATACCAAGATTAAAAGAAATTAAAAAGGTTCCCAAAGTTAAGACCTGCAGGTAATTTTTGAGCCTGCTCCATTTGTCCAGTAGCACTGAAGAGGAAATATTTGTTCTCTTTCCTGCTTCTTTTTTTCCTGTTTGAACTCTTTACAGTCACAATGGCTTCATACTTAACAGAAACTGAACATCGCACCATGTTGTCAATACCTGCTGTATTTTTCACTATTATTTCTATTAGCCTGGTTTCCTAAGGAAATGAAGTTTATATGATCACGCTATCTGTCTACATGTAATAAGGTTTTCAACCTGCTGGCCAATCTTAGCCAAATTTGAAAGGGAGTATAAGTCTCAAAGATAATTAAGTTTCTATGTGTTTCATGAAAAGCGATGGCCGACAGAGGAGAGACCCCAAAGCAGTGCCCCAGTCTGAGGGGTGGTGGGAAGGACCTGGGCACTCTGTGCGTTGTTCGGCTGCAGCCCTCCGGCCGATCAGTATGGGCACAGCTCCAGAGCAGCTGCAGCTCTGGCCTGTTTTCCTGGGGGCTAGGGGATGCAAAAGGGGACGTGGATGTCAGAGGGGACATGGAGAGGAGTCGGGGAAGGCGAATTTATTGTGTATGTCTGGGCAGGGGGGAGGAGAGCAGTTGCATTGCCCAACTGTCCCCTAATCGATAGGAAACCAGTTTTCATTAATTCATCTGCCCTCCAGACATCTTGTGTTTTATTAGGAATATTTATAAGCTGTTATTTCGAGAAGGATCTTCAGGAAAGTACTCTTTTCTCCCTTTTTGGTTATAAATGCCAGGGCGCAATCTGAGTCGCTGTGTGGTTTCCTTTTTTAATGGGAAGACGAATGAATTTCCACTTCCGTCTGTGAGCTACTGCACCCTTGAGAGAGCATTCAGTCTTGTTGTATATTATCAAGAAAGTTTTGATGTCCTCTGCGCTGCCATTGTCTCTGACGTAAGGATGAACCTTTTAGAATAGGAGGGTAAAAAAATAACAGTTATCATTTCGACATCAAAGTTTAGTCAGTAAGATTTAATCCTTACTCAACTGGGATGTATGACTGAGACAGTATCTGTTCACTGTAATGGCACAAATGATCAGTTTTATTTAAATAGTAAAACACTTCTATTTTTACAAAGGAATAACTTTAAAACAGTTGCACATTTTTATGTTTACTCCCTCTTGAGATTTGCCCATATTCAAGTGCGGAGGGGTTTGCAGAGGCCCAGTGCTAAAGCATGACAAGCCTGTAACAGAGCCCTTTTTTATTTTTTGTGTGGAAATGGAGCACTGTCAAGGACCCTTTTGCCTATTCTATTAGTGGGGAGAGGTCACATGGTGAACATATGAAATTTACATGGCTGCTCTTCTTTAATGAAATACTAGTTGTCTTGTTGAAATTCTCTAAGCTATAGTAAACCCAGAATCTAGAAGGCAACATGACATATTACACCTTCCCGTTTCATGTCTCCATTACACCCGGTGTCATGCATAAGAATGAGAAATGCTCTCTTGGATGCTGACTCTGCTCTTCCAGTGGATGCATAATTCTAGATATTTGTTGTGGGAAGCAGCTATGCCCTGAATACACAGGTGCAGCATGACAGGAAAACCCATTCTCTTCCTTTCCCATATGCAGAACAGGAACTCGATGGATGCAGGATAAATCTGTTTTGAGGAAACATGATTTATGCATAAAACTATTTTAAATAAACATGGTTTGTGGGTTAGCACTTGGTTTAGTTCTTCTAGCATGATCCATGGGAATGTTTCTTTAGAGTCTCAACCAGCACTTGATTCATGCTATTTGCTACCAATTTGAGAGGGAGCGTATCATGAAGTTTACTGTTGCACAGCAAAGAAGAACCATAGCTCAAAGGTCCCTGAAGCTACAAGACCAGCATGCATGCCACAGTTTTCCATACAAAATCAGTCTTTAATGCAGACTTTCATGAACTTTTAGATGGATAAAGTTGCACTGAAAATGCTGGTTTCCCAGCACAAAGACAAAGCATTTATTTAACATGGAAATATTGAGAATAGGATATTTATATAAGAAGGTTCCAGAGTGCAATCCACAATGGTTATGTTTGTTTTAAGGAAGAATGTGGTTTGCTAACTTAGCTTTAACCTGGTTAATCTATGTACAATCTGAGTTGGAAAGATTATTAATTTTTTTCTTAAAACTGGTTGTTTGGGGGTTTTATATTGAGAGTAATGTGCTTGTCTTTCCTGGCAGAAGGATGGCAGAAAATAAAGAAGGTACTCAGCAGAAGTAACAGCATCGATATAGGGATCTCAGATGAGTAGGTCCAGGCACACTGTAGCTGAGTTTGATGACTTTACCTCTGACAAGACAGTCAAACAGCAGAAGCAGATGTGTTCTGTCTGGCGTGACTTTGAGCTCAATCATTCTTTCCTTTGAAAATCTCATCCTAAAAGAATAGTGGGAGTCTGAGGAGGAACGGAAGAAACTTTTCACTCTTTCAAATTGTGTGAGATCAAGAAAGGATGGAGGCATCTGAAGATATTTGGAACACTTCTAGATTGATTTTTTCCAGCAAAACCAAGATATGTTTATCTCCTGAGTCGATACATCCTGCTATTCGTATTAACTTCAAACTGAAGAAATATTTATTGCTAGAACTGGAATCTTGCAGAAGGGTTTACTTCTTATTTTAAGTGGAGTTTCAAAAGACAAGAAAGGGCACCAAGTAATCAAGAAAGTTCCACACAACTGGATAGCCATAATTCCTTGCATAAATATGTGATTGTACTGTACATTGTACATTGTACTGTACTAATGCATTTTCTTTTCTTTTATCCAGGAGTCAAACTACTTGGAATAAAGGAGGAGAAAAGTAAGAATAATTAATTTGTTTGTTCTTTTTAGTACCAATGCTGGCGTTAATTTAGCTTCATAATTGGCATTTCATTATTAAAAGCTTATGTAGTTTAATTCTCAAGTAATATGAGAGGGGATCTTACAGTAAATGCTTTCCAACCCTGTGTTTGGGGCCATGCAATGGCACATACCTATTCTGAAACACGTTCTTTCATAAAGAACTGCAGAACATATATTTCAAGTCAGAGGAGGTGCTGATGGCATGGAAGGCATCTGCTGGGGGTGCCTTGATATTTAGGCTAAAACTTCAATACAGCCGTGATCTCTGTGTCATGGACTGTGAGTGGATAAAGCTGGGCAGCTGAGGAATGTGGCTGGAAATGCAGGAGGCGACTCTGCAAACTTTCAGTGGTCTTAAGTGAAAGAGGATGACTGTGTCGTGGGCTGCGTTCTTCCTGCTATTTCCCATGAGAAAAAAGGGAGATTATTCGTATCAGTGGAGGCTGTCGGTAAAACACCACTATTGAATAAGAGAAATCAGGCCCTCTGTTTTCAGGTGACCTTTTCATAAGGCTCACTGCACCTACGTTCTTTTCTGGAAGGGGTTCCCTACCCTAGTTCCTAGTTCCGATATACAGATTTGTGCAAAGCCTTTACTTCTAGGCTTGGAGACTTTTGAGGCAAGTTCAGGTACTGACACATTACTCTTGCCTTAGGAGGTGGCTTTGACATGAGTCTTTTTTTTGAGAGTTAGGATTTTTTAAAGAGGAATTTAAAAAAATCAAACTTAAAAAAGCCTCTTGCTTTTAACCTTTCTGCCACAAATGCAGATATTCTGCGACTTTCTTCCTCATTTTCTGCTCCAACAGTTATTTTAGTATTTTTGCAGCAGGGTTGTATTCTGAAGACAGTATCCAAATAATACTGTTGGCCTCCCATGAGTCGTCTTTTCAGTTTTATGAGGAGTAAAATTGTTATTAAAAATTAACTCAAATTCACTAAAGAAATGACAATGAGTAGATAAAGGCAGTTCCCCAGAGGGGAAGAAATGGCCATCTTTTGCAGCCCACAATACTATTAGGTTTTGTAAACTGTGGGCAGCTGAAGGCGTTCAATGCATTGGATTCTTTGTTGTTTTTCACAATATCTACGATACCAATAATGTGTTTACATATGAACTGTACAAGAATTATGGATGGATGTACTTTCTTAATCCTTGTTTTACTTTTGTTCTGAAAACACATTTCAGCTTGCTACATTAGTATATTGTTCAAAGAGTTATTAATATGTCTGCAGATAATTACGACATTTTGTGAATTAAATTTACAAAAAGATAGAAATCCCGTCATGAAGGCTTTACATAATTAAAAGTTAAACCTGTCAGAAGAAAAGGGAGACTTTATTTTCCAGTGGACTTAATCCTAGAGAAGTTGACTTTGATTTTTGTTTTTACTGCAAAAGATAATTTTTAATTCTGTTTTCTCCCTCTTGTTGCAGGATATTGGAGAAATATTCACTTTTTAGCTTGCCTAGGCCAAATGACCTTGTAAAAGCTCCAAGAAAGCGCTCTTTTATCATTTTGATTTTTTTTCTTACCCTGACTTCAGCTTCACACCCACTTCATGAGCAATCTGCAGACTGGTTTCTAGCTGGCATTATTCACACATATTTGAAGCAGCTGATTATGAAAGTCCTTATTTAATTTTTAATAAGAGAATGTGTCATTTTTTTTCATAAATTGTTTTGCCTCTTGCAGAATGTAATTATCCCAGTCTTTGAGATCTCAGAAAAAGAAGACATTAGTGGCTGCAGAGGCTGCAGTAATATCTGTGTTTACTTGCTGCTCTACACCCAGCCAAAACCTCTCAGAGACTTGAACTAAAGAAGTAGGCACAGGGTTTTCTTTTGGGATGGGAAGGAGAAGTGTTGCTGGTTTGGGATTTTTGTTTTGTTTTGGTGTGGATTTTGTGGAATTGTTTTACTATTGTATTCAACAGCAGACACTCAAGAAGAAACAGATGTGTGTATTGTAGACAGGATCTTTTAAATACGTTTAGAAAAATACAGCACATGAAAGAAATAAAACTTGAAATAACACTGAAATTTATTTGATCTCTCCCACATCTTTTGTGATATGATATACCAGTTTTTCACTTTGCCTGTTTTACCTTGGTAACTTCTGTTACATGAGTGGGGAAAACTACTGCAAGGTTAGCTTTAGTTTCTTCCTTTTCTTTGTCCCTCTAGCCTAATGGAATTTAATTTATATCTCCCTGTTTCTGCAGATGACAACATTTTAATGCTTTCCAAAAGTCAGATGCATGACCAAGATATTTCTAATGGAAAAGAAGGGTCCACAGTACATGTTAGATAAACCATGCAGACAAGAAAAAGTATCTATCTATCTGCAGCATTTACAAGTACATCTTAGGCAAAGTTAAAGGTTTCCTGAGCAGTTTTTTTCAGTGTGCAGGCATGCCACCGTGTTTTTCCATCACCCTTGCAATATGGAAACTTCATAATGGATCACCTGAAGTTTTCTTTTGAACCATGGATGTTGGTATGTTTGCTTTCCCCTCTGGGACTCTCTGCAGCTGCCCTTGGCTCTCTTTGCCTCAAAGGATTACTCAGATCTCTCATACTACTAGCTAGCTGATGTTAATAGGAAATGCCAGAGATCTTGGCAATGCTTTGTGGTTTAGCCTTTTTTTAAGTATTTGACACTGGGAAAATTCCTCGGGAAGGCTTTTGCATACCTGCACAATGGGACTGTATTGCAAGTGGTACTTCGCTGTGCTGTCGGACTGCTGCTTTCAAAATTAAATTCACATCTCCCTTCAAGAACTCACTCACCCAGCCTCCTTTCGTAGGTGTCAGGGCTGGGGCTAAATGTCTGCAGATTGGGATATATGTACATGCATGCACATATATTTTAAAGGAAGTGTCTTTGCTTTAATCAGATCCTTGTATTGTACTCTAATCAGACTAAGACTTGGAGGTGATCTTTTTGAAGTAGTGAACCTGCAGCCTCTCCACATGTGACGTACGACACCCCTAGACCCTGCTGACAAAGGCTGAGTGGGAGGGGAAATCACCGTGGTCATCGACAAGTTAAAATTCAGTTTGATCATGTTGCTGTGTTTCTATATCCAAAGAAAAAGAAGAACTTTTTATTAACCTCCTACTTTCACATTCAGGAACAGTGATGGCAAGTCACCTTGAGTAACCTCTTCCATTAAGCTTGTCTGCTTTCTTTTGGCTGTCTTCAAAGATGAAACTTGATCACAATCTTCAAAGTGCTTCCCCTTATCCAGCATTTCAATCTCTTATTTGAAATGCTCTCTACAAACTATTTCAGACACTAACTATTCCAGCCCTTTTTAATGGCAAAGTATCTGAATTTTTCCTCTCCTATCTTTCTGAACAGAACAAACAAATCTATATGAACAGTGGGCCAGGAAGTGTCTTTGAGAGCCATGGCCTGCAATGGAGATGATAAGAAGTTACATGCATCCACGAATTGATGTTAGCAGGATGTCTGGAAAATGCTGTTCTCATCCTGTTGGAAAGCTTCCAGTATCTCAGAATTACCACCTCCCCACACACACATCCTGCCAAAACTTTAAGCTTGAAAGCAAAGGGATGTTATGACATCTCTTTAAAGGGGTTATAATGAAATGAACTGGAGATAGACTGGGAAAATGGCTTCATGTCTGTCAAGTTAGGAACTGATAGTTGGGTGTGTTTGCTATCTACCTGTTAGAGTAAACCTCTGATAAAGGTTTTCAAATACAACTAGTATGTAAGTTATAACTTACACTGACCAAATTAATTATCTATTATGCGGTGGCATAAAACCAGGTTTTATTGCAATGTAACAGTAAATGGAGGTTCATTTTTTTGTTTTGAAAATTGTTGTTGTCTCAATATAATCTGCACTGATGATCTCCCTGATACTTCAGAAAGAAACCTTCCAACAGGGAGTGATATGGGGCTGGAAGTTACAAGAGGAAATCCCCTTGCTTTTTCATTGCTGAGACAAATTCATTTTAACAAACTGACTAAACCATTATGATCAGCTATTCTGAATTCCGATATAACTTGACAGCAAGATTCCTATGTTTAGATTTTATGGTCTGCCTAAATCAGAATCTACCTCCCTGTGAAGAAATGCGATGTCTGTTTAAAGACTTGCAAGATTGATTCTCCATTATGTACCTAGAAGTTGTCCCAATGGTTTAACTATCCCTGCTTTTAAAAATACCTGCCTGACTTCTAGTTCAAACTTGCCATGTTTCAGGTATCTATTACTGAATTTTTTTAACCACTTACCTGGTAAATTAAAGAGTTTTCTGCTCTTGGGACTCTTATTTTTTTCAATGTGAATATTTGGACAGCTTCATTCAATTTGCAGTCCTTGTTCAGCTTTTATTCTTAAAACTATCCCAGATTTACAGAAAGCCTTAGATGCGATAGGATTTGGTATAAGTGTATCTTCTTTTTGGTATGTGCCCCATGACCCAGACACTGAGGCAGAATATTATTAGCTACTAGAAAGGGAGCTAATCCATAGCTTACACTTTATGGTACTCATCCATGTTCAGTTCACAACTCTGCTTCAAGAAATCCAAATCCGTGTCTCCTGTTTTGGAGAATAACTTAACCACCAGGCTCTTTAGGGTAGTTCTCAGCACCCAGGCTGTGATGGCTCTTCTGCTTTACGCAAAAGAATAGAAATTCATGTGAAGTGAGACGGCACATGGCTTTATCTAGCCCAAGAGCTAGATGTTCCTGCTGTGGCCCGTGCCATGACTCTGCTCCCCATCGTAGTCTTCCCTAAGGGCTCCCCCACATAGCGCACTCGCTCCTTTACACTTTCAGATGTTTGTTTTCTCTAGTCCTGCTCCCGGAATACAGACTCTCTGGCAGAAATCCCTTTCGCTCCCTCTGTTAAGTATTATTCCTCCTTCCCCTTCAGTCAAGCCCCCTTTCTTGTTAAATCCC